CGGACAATTTTTAATGAGATTCTGCTGGGAGTTATTTAAAAAAATATCTCCATCTATTTAGGAATTACGTACACGTTACGAACATGTCCGGAATTATTTCGTTAAATTCCACGAATTGAGCTTTTATGCGCGCGTTACGATGAAAGCAATTAAAAATCCTCGACAGTGTGATGTCGCACGAATGACAGATCGAGTAACAATTGAAAAATTCAAACTACGCAGAACGGTTAACGTAGTTAATAACAATTCATCGTCAATGAAGGATCGTGTTAATTAATATTCTGTTAAGCAATCTCCGAACATGAATTTCTACCATTTACTGTATTTCGTAATCAACACCGACAATGTAATTCATCGATTGATGAGAATTCATGCCGTTTATTCGCTGAATGTACTATGTTAATGTTCATTAAATGTTTTGTCGGAATCAGCTGTTTGCTGGTTAATTACGATGTATGTGCTTGGGAAGTTGAGTAATTGTTTTGAACGAGACGAAAATTAAAAATTATTCGAAATTCAAGATTAAAACGAAGTTAAAATTGGTTAAAATTATTCAGTGAAATGTATGATGATTTAAAGAGAATTACAAACAATGAAAAGAATTAAAACAAAATTACCAACAATCAAAGTAATTGAAACAGGTAAAAGAAAATTACAAACAATTTCAATAAATAAAACAAGTAAAACAAAATTATAAATGATCAAAATAAATCAAACAATTAAAACAAAATTATGAATGATCAAAATAATTCAAACAAGAAAAATAAAATTATAAATGATCAAAATAAAACAAACAATTAAAACAAAATTATAAATGATCAAAATAATTAAAACAAAAAAAAAAAAACAAAATTATAAATGATCAAAATAATCCAAACAATTAAAACAAAATTATGAATGATCAAAATAATTCAAGCAATTAAAACAAAATTATAAATGATCAAAATAAAACAAAAAATTAAAACTAAATTATAAATGATCAAAATAATTGAAACAAGTAAAACAAAATTATAAATGATCAAAATAATTAAAACAAGAAAAATAAAATTATAAATAATCAAAATAATTAAAATAAGAAAAACAAAATTATAGATGATCAGAATAATTAAAACAATTAAAACAAAATTACAAACAACCACAGTAATTAAAACAATCAAAACAAAATTACGAACAACTAAAATTACAAACAAAATTAAAAAGCTATTCTAAAATTCCCAACTTCAAGATCTGATCATTTTAAAACCTAAAAACCTAGAAGTTTAAAAATCTAGAAATTTAAAAAATATAGAAACAATACCAAATATTTTTGCACCCAAATTAAAAAATAAAAAAAATATCCAACGATCAAATTAAAAAATGAATTACCCAAAAATAATATTCCAGTCACAAAAATATAAAGAGGTCCCCATTCGCGAAGCAAACAATTCGTGAAAAACGCGCATTCCAAGACGGTGAGTCTTGAGAATTGAAAAAGGAACGCCGGGAGCGAAAAATCACAGTAATGCACGCCTCAAATATTTTCCAAAAGAAGAATAAGCAGGGTAAAAATACGCGTGTCAAGTTGTGCGCGGAAGCAGCAGTTCTCGCGGATATCGCGTTTCCATTTTCACGCCGGCGTTTCGCCGTCGGCAATTCCGTGGAAATTCACCGGCGAAAAATTCCACGGTCCTACGCGTTGCAAATTTCCTTTCGAGAACCGGAAACGGATCACGAGCCGTTTGACGCGAAAAACAATTCCCGTCGACGAATCGAAGATATTTTCGATCGCGCAAAGGGGTGACACGTAGCACCAACAGGGGTTGAGGCTGGTCGATTGAAAAGGCGGATATCGTACGTCAACGGGCTTGCAAACAATTTTCCGACAAATCGTTCCCGTGAATTTCTCTTGCAATTCTTCTCTAACGTTTCATTACATTTTTTTCGCTTATTGTTTGCTACGTAGAAATTAAATTTTAAAATTGTAACAGAAATTTCTTTGTCGAACAGTATCAAGTTTTCAATGTATAAGATGTACGGGGCGCCTGACATCACGTGACTGGACATCATGTGACCCCCCTCGCGCGCTCAATTCAAATGTACAGTATGACTCCGGACTTCTTTTGGTTAGCTAGTATTTTGTAAATTTCATGAAATTTTATCGTAAGGAAGCAAATATCGTACTTTATTATATTAATATTTGAATGGATAATTATAATCGAAAGTATGATTAAAGCGTTAATGCTTTTCCCGTTCATTGTGCTATCATTGTAGTATTCTATTCATCGTACATAAATCATTATAATAACAAAATGTGGAGGTAGAACGCGGTCCGGCAAAGAATTTCCGCGACAATGGAAGAGAATATAAGGAAGAAGGATCGCCGAAGAGATCCGAAGATTAACGAGATTCAGAAACGGAATCCGTTGAAGCGGCCGAATAAAATAATTGAGCAAAAAAGGGAGGATATTTTCGCGCGGAAAAGCTCGCAAATAACGCGGGCAAGCAATGTCCCGGCAGTGTACATATTTTTTCCACCGCGACCGAGTTTCTTACAGCCCCGATACACGCGAAATGCGCACGTAGGTTAGGTGCATGAATGTGTGCGGGGTTATTCGCGCGAGCAGCTTCGTGCTCGTTAAAATATTGCCGTGTTTCGGACGTAAAAACGCCACCGAAACTAACTCCTGTCCGCGTTAGAATATAAAAACCGGCTACGGAACGTGAATAGAGAACTCCGACGGGTACGATAGACTGTGAAAGGTACTTCTCGCCTGGTGTTTAATTAAATGAAGTAAAAAAGGATGGCTGCTAATGATTATGATGTGGATAGTTCGCGAACTTTAACGAATAAAAACGAAATTTTATACGGTAGCAATATGTTTCGTATAAAGGTTATAGCCGTGGTATTAAATTTAATTTTACGACACGTTGCGATACGATCCGTTGTAATGTTTGATCGCGCGACACGCGAGGATACTGTTAATTGCAATTATAGTTACGAGGGGGAAACATTACGACGTATTACAGGTATCACGTGTGGCTGTTACAATGTGATGAAATTGTAATGCGCTGTTAGTGATGAGCTATGATCACAGCGCGTTAAAGTTACAACGCGTTACAACTACGAAGCATAACGATAATAACACGACACCGTTACAGCGCTGATCGTTACAACGCATCGAAGTAACAAGTTCAAATCCGAATGTGTCATAATAACAGCTCGTAGAAATTATAGCGCGTCATAATTGCAATTTGAGAAAATTACAACGCAATCACATGACAACGCGTCACAATTACACAGCGTTGTAATCAGAGTGCATGAAACTTACAACGCGTAAAAATCACAGCGCATCGAAATTACAACGCGTTACAATTACGAAGCGTTGAAATCGCAGCGCATCGAAGTTACAACGCGTCATAATTACAACGCGTTGAAATCACAGCGCATCGAAGTCACAACGCGTCAAAATAACAGCGCATTGAAGTTACAGCGCGTCACAATTTCAAAGCGTTGACATAACAGCGCTCCATAATTGCAACGTATTTAAATCACAGCGCATCGAAGTCACAACGCGCTAAAATAGCAGCGCATCGAAATTACAGCGCGTCTCGGTTATAAAGCGTTGAAATAACAACGCATCGAAGTCACAACGCGTCAAAATGACAGCGCATCGAAGTTACAGCGCGTCACAATTACGAAGCGTTGAAATCACAGCGCATGGAAGTCACGACGCGTCAAAATAACAGCGCGTCGAAGTTACAACGCGTTATAATTGCAAAGCATTGAAATCACAGCGCATCATAATTACAACGCGTTGAAATCACAGCGCATCGAAGTCACAACGCGTCAAAATAACAGCGCTTCGAAATTACAGCGCGTTACCATTACGAAGCGTTGAAATCACAACGCATCGAAGTTACAGCGCGTCATAATTGCTACGCGTCGAAATCACAGCGCATCGAAGTCACAGCGCGTCAAAATAACAGCGCAACGAAATTACATCGCCTTACAATTACGAAGCGTTGAAATCACAGCGCATGGAAGTCACGACGCGTCATAATCACAACGCATCGAAGTTACAGCGCGTCACAATGACAAAGTAACGATTAATTTCTTATACACGTACCGTATACCCAATAAAAATAGAGACATAAACCCCGTGTCCGATAAAAAGAAATTTGAAATTCTTTCAGCTCCGTCACTATCAATGCCAAGCAGCGATATTGTATTGAACTTTAGCGATACAATAAGTTGCGAAGTCAACAAGTTAAACTAAAAACAATTTCGATAAACCGGTATCTTCTCCCGTGACCCAGATACTAAATAACAACGAAGTAGGGCAACGTTTGCAATTTTAAAGAGGCAAGTTACGATTTAAAGTAAAAAATTCAGCATGAACTGCGGGACGATCGATGGATTCGACAGAGTATACAATTTGCAATGGATGAAAGTCTGAAAGCGGATCCATATTTCCTCGCAAAATGTTTTCCACGTGTTTTGAGCCGCAACTTCTACGTTCCCCTTCGATAAAACTTTTAATAAGTTCTCCTACCGATGTAAATATATATACACATCGGTGAATCCCTAAGGGAATTGGCAATGTTTCCTCCATTATGTTATTTATACACTGTTCGCTATTGTTGAAATTTATACGTCCGTTCTCTTTTTTGCCGAACTTTCTCTAACTTTCATCCATTCAATCTGACTTTTAAAAACAACTTCCCTAATAAATATTAACAATGTAATTTTCCCAAGTTTTATTTCGACGACATATTCCGCGTCTCGATTATCGCGACAAAAATAGGAGATTATAGTTTTAAAGAGAGGCAAGGCTGATATAAAAGATTCAGTGTTACGATCGATCGATTGGGAATCTAACAATAAAGAATAGAAATAGTACGAAGGACTCGAAATGAATCGATAAGCGAATGAAACGTTAAAGAATTAATATATGAAAATGAAGTCCAAAAAAGATCAGACTTATTAAAGATTGTTCTTATTAAAAGTACAAAGAACTCACGGTAAGTAGATTACGCCGAAAACTGTCAGACGAATCGGAAACTCGAAAGGCACTCACCTGAAACACAAAATTAAAGGAAGTCGTCAATTGTTAGTCAAGAAATCCCTTCCGACTATTCTTTCCAGCAACTTATTAAAGAAACTTAAGGGGTCTTCGTTAACCAGCGAAATCCCAACGTGCTAATTACGTAGCGCGCCTTCCAATGACACTTCGCCAACTAATTACATCCGAACGCTTTAAGAAGATAATGAATTCCCAAAACGTGCGAAACTTTCGCGGGCAAATCTTGCCCGTAATTTACACTGGATTCTCTCAACTTATTTCGCCGGTCTTAAACCTTAATCCCTTCAATTATATTAACACGTTGGATGTCGTCCCTTGGGGTTCGCCAGTGATATCTTTATTATTATGAATATTTTGTAGGAAGCTAATGTGAACTAGATATTTTGACAGTTTTATGTAGTCATAACTAAAGTCATTGGTAAAGTTTTCAATGCGATTGGTGAATTACCACGCGTCGAATTACCACGCATCGAATTACCACGCGTCGAACTACCATGCGTCGAATTACCACGCGTCAAATTACCATGTGTGGAGTCACCACGCGTGGAACTACCACGCGTAGAATTACCACGCGTCGAAACACCATGCGTGGAGTTACCACGCGTGGAATTACTACGCATAGAATTACCACGCATGGAATTACTACGCGTAGAATTACCACGCGTGGAATTACAACGCGTGGAATTACCACCCGTGGAGTTACCACGCGTGGAATTACCACGCGTGGAGTCCACTCGCTGAATTACCACGCGTGGAGTTACCACGCATGGCATTACTACGCATAGAATTACCACGCGTGGAATTACTACACGTAGAATTACCACGCGTGGAATTACCATACGCTGAATTACTACGCGTCGAATTACCACGCGCCGAATTACCACGTGCCGAGTTACACACACTGTGAATTACCACGCGTGGAATTACTACGCGTCGACTTATTGGTCCATGTTTTTCCCTAATAATTTAAAAACAAAGCTTCAAACCCCATTTCTGCAAAGGAAAATCTTATTCAGAATCATGTCCGCTACTCCCCATTTGAGGGACCTACACTAATTGTGAAACACCCTGTATAGACATCTTTATGAAAGTTCAAGCTTCAAATTGACATAGCGCAAGTGGTAGTTCGTGACGGTTTTATGTCACGAAATTGTGTCAGACTATAACCATTCCAGAAACCGTGATCTACTGCTCAGTCATTTTCTGCTAAGTACATCAATCAAGTCCTTAATAATCAAGCTCCTAATAATCAAGTACTTCCATAAAAATCTTCAAACTATAATTGACACGTTACCTAATTTTAAAGTCATAAAATCTTCATACTTCACGATCCTCGTATATTCGCTTGATACGTAATGCAGCACGCAACCATACATCGAAATCAACCCCCTACACCCGACGAAATGTGACAGCCCGGAATCGCCATTTGTTACAGGAAGCGTCGGTCGCGGTACAGCAAAAGGTAAAAACGGAACGAGTGCATAGAGTACGTGGCAAGAATCGCGGATGCGTAGCAGCAAGGAACAAACATCCGGAATTCATCGTGTTAAGGCGGTCCTTGGCCAGTTTCGAGGGCTAATGTGTTTACAGATCCGCCGATTGTAAACTAAACCACAACGAGGGAGTGTAGGGGTCTGCAGTTGCAGGTAGAATTCCCCTGTTGCACGTTACTAACGATACGCTCCGACAATAGCAATTCGCCACTGCTAAGCCCGGTGCCGTTCGAAATTCTTCATCGGGGGGCCGAGTGGATTCAACGGCGAAACCGATTCGACGCGTTGTTTCGCTGGTCCTCGTAAATCTACTTTACTGCGTAGCAGAACTGGATCTGCGACCGATGAAACGTTCTCGTGGCTTCTTTACGATGCCGAGAGGCAACGAGGATCGTTTACGCCCATTCATCGCTAGAAATCGGTATGTTGGTGACCATTTTGAAACTATTGTAGCGATGTATGGGATGTTCTTTTCGGTTGTGGGAATTCGGAAAAGAGTGATGGAGGAATTTGGTATTTCTGGAGTTCTAAATTTTATTATCATATTATATCGCCACGTGTTCGAGTACTGCCCAGTAAATTACTATGAATTGTACTACTATGCATTGAATTTCCACGCGTTGCATTTCTATCGCCTTGTGTTATATCGCCACGCGTTTTCGAATTCTCAAATTTCTACGTCCCTAAATTTCCAAATTCGAAAAATTGAATTTAGATCCATCGCTAGATTAAAAAAGAATAATACATCACACCATTATTCTACATAATTCTAAAATAAATTCAGAGATTCAGAAAAAAATTTGTACAAATAAAAGGTAGTAACCAAACAAGTATTATTCATGGAATTAAATATACGTAACAGTAATCAATGCAATGAATGTAAAATGAGGGAATTTGTATTGTTGCCGATGTAATCCTCTCGAGAACGCAACGAAGGAAATGGAAGATCTTGGTGTCATGTAATATGCAAAATCCTTCCACGTCGCTACATATACAGGAATGTAGGCCAACGATATGTCTGCTCCTTTTTCTCTATGCTGTAAAATACGTTGAATCCTTGTCCACGTTCAGGGCACAACAATAGGGATGCGGCACGTTCGCAAAAGTGCATCGCTCGTACGTGTACAATGCAATTTCTCTGTATACGTGAATACGAGACGCAAGACGAATTGTACTGAGGACTCTTTACAATTCGCACTCGGTATAATTCTTTAGTGTATCTAGATCAATATGCAATATCACAGACGTTAACTACTGTAACCTGTACATGTTTATATTATGATAACAAAGTTCTAAAGTAAACTACGAAATACGGCTGAATAATGTTATGAAAATGGACGATGATAAATACGTTCGTGAAATAACAACGCGTAACAAATGCGGCACACCGGGTGGTAATAATTCCATGCGTGGTAATTCTACGCGTAGTAACTCCACGCGTGCTAATTGATGCGTGGTAATTCTACGCGTAGTAATTCCATGCGTGGTAATTCTACGCGTAGTAATTCCATGCGTGGTAATTCTACGCGTAGTAATTCCATGCGTGGTAATTCTACGCGTAGTAATTCCATGCGTGGTAATTCTACGCGTAGTAATTCCATGCGTGGTAATTCTACGCGTAGTAATTCCATGCGTGGTAATTCTATGCGTAGTAATTCCACGCGTGGTAACTCCATGCATGGTGTTTCGACGCGTGGTAATTCTACGCGTGGTAATTCCACGCGTTGTAATTCGACGCGTGGTAATTCGACGCGTGGTAATACTCAACACTTGGTAATTCTCGCGTGGTAATTCGACGCGTGGTAACTCAACGCGTGGTAATTCTACGCTTGGTAATCCGACGCGTGGTAATTCGATGCGTGGTAATTCGACGCGTGGGGATTTAACGC